ATTATAAAAAAAATAAATATATAAATGTGTAAATAGTAAATACTAAATACATTTWAAAAAACCAGGTATGTTTTGTATTTATTATTGTTTATTGTTTATAAATCATTTTTATTAATTTATTTATTCCATACATTACAGTGACCCACTTGTAACCTACTGTAAAGCAGAGCAACACCCGCTTTCCCACCTTTTTTTAGTTTAAATGATAAAATTACAAACTAAATAAAATGTGACACCGTGAAATATGGTTATACCAATTCTTGCAATTTTTGACTCCTATTTTCTTTTTTTCTACCCGTTCTACTACCTATTTTGTTTTTATTTCTTTCGYATGCAGGAACTACAGCGCAGAAAATGTGGCAAAATTTGCGAGATTCYTACCGGCGAAAATTGAAGACGCGATTAGAGAAAAAGAGTGGTGATGGCGCTAAAAGAGATGACAACTGGCCGTACTTTGAAGCCATGGACTTCCTTCGAAACGTATTGACTCCACGGGAAAGTTCTGGTAATATTCCAAGTGTTAACTTTGAAAACCTAGGGGACAAGTCAACTGCTGATTCACTGACTGACATCTTAAATGTCATACCCAATTTAGCCCATTCATACTCAATTACCTTCTTAAAGTACCACCTGGATCCAATTTTCTAAAAAAAAGATACGATGTGGAAATCGAAGCACTCCTTCTGGTAGACATTTTTTTAACAGGATAAAAATAAACATTATTGTAATACCAAAATTAAGTCAAAATGTGGAAAAGTTTTGAAGATACAAATGAGCGATAGGTTATTTTGATAAAAAAGTTAATTGCCTATAATTTAAAAATAAAAAAGTTAGACCAACTATTTAAAGGGTATTTTTTCATCATTTTTGGTATACTTTCATATGACATTGCAGGCCAGTCACTTCTCCCTGGAGGCCTGGAACACATTTTATTGTATTTATTTGTATATTATACAATATGCCTACCTATATAGTATATCTAATATAGGTACATAACATAATAATAAGCACCTACCTATTTTTCTCAATATAGGTATCTACATTATGGTACAACATATTAAAGAAAAAGGTTCATATATTTTTTAGGAGTGAACATTTTAAACTTGGACAGGGGACTTGTGCACCCCCCTAGTTGAGCCAATGGCCAAATTGTTCACATAAACTGAACACTCATCTCCAAAAAATTATAAATTAATATATTTTAGTAACTAACAAATATTTRTTTATTTATTTGATTTTACAAAAATTACATTATTAAAGTAATTATGTACCTGTTATATAAACTATAGTTGTGAACGAAAGTAAGTACTTTTTCTATACTAAGGGGCAAAAGCAATTTGAGGGACTTTATTCGAAAAAAAGATTGAATGCTTTAATTTAGAATTGTTATAACAGTTTAGCGAATTATTACCTAGTTTAGAAATCGTTTAGAATCATTCTAGGTCATTCTAAATCTAAACTAGTTTAAATGTTCGATTATCTATTGGAACTCAAAATTTTTGCGATACTTTTGTAAACAATTGAGGCATTAAATATATAAAAAAATTATACTCTGACTAAATTGTTAAACCTCAAAAATGTGCAACAATTTTTGGAAAAAGTTTTTTCACTGAATTAAATAGGTTATAGATGTGTATTTTTCAAAAAAAAAAAAATTGGCGTGAAATTTTGATTTGCCAATTTTTCTATCTTAGGATCGATTTTCAAATTTTTCAAGAACATGAATTTGATCCAGATGCGAGGCTGCATTGATCCTTGGAGATTTAAAGACGATGCGACCAATATCTAACGATTTAGGTTTTTGATATATTATGAATTTGAAAAATCGAACGGAGAACCCAAATCCTTTGATAAAAGACATATCATCATCCTTATGAAACCTACAAGAATCGAAGCAGAAGCATTCGTAGCTCAATTTAAAATTTGTAATTGTTTTTTAAATTAATTATTAAGGTGGCAAATGGTACGTTATAAATTATGTAATTTTCAAAAAAAGCCGGAAAATTTTGATTTGTTAATTTTTCAACCTTAGGATCGATTTTCAAATTGTTCAAGAACATAAATTTGATTCCGTAAGTGAGACTGCATCGATCCTTGAAGAGTACAAGATGATACGACCAATATTGAAGAAGTTGATATTTTGATTATCATAATTTATAATATGTACCTATCTAAATTTGATTGAAAATATTAAATCTTTGAATTTATTTTGGATCAAAACCATTTATGAAATTAATTGTAACCAACTATATAAATAATGATTGAAACACACACAATAATAAATTTTGAAAGTTAGTGGAAATTGCATTATAATATTATTCATATATTATTATAATTATTACACGATTACATCACAAAACTATTGTTCCGTGAATATTATRAAATGTATTTAACAGTAGATAGGCACCTATGTTAATCTTAATCCAATAACGTAACTGTTGATTCTCGATCTTTCTATTCTCAGTGTCTATGTTTGAGGTCTATTTTACATACCTTACTACCTATACTACTAATTTAATTCTAATAACGAATTTTTATTTTTTATTATACGTACGATAGATACATTAATTTATTTTAATGTTTAATATGTACCTAATAAAATACATAAACTGAGTATAAAAAACTCAAAAGTAAAATATAGGTTGCATTCTAGTTGCGTACTTGCGTTCCAAATATAACCACGAAAAAAGAATGAATACTGAATAGTAATTAAATTATTCCACAATACAATTATTAAATATTAATTATTATTTATGTACATACTGCTATAATACTAGGTATTGAAATGTTGAATTATGGTAATTAGAATATATAATTAGTGTTTAATTCTAATTTGTAAAG